TCTCATTCAAGCTGCTGTCTACCCAATGTTCTGTGAATAAATTCCTTTCTTTGCTTAAGTTAACCCAAATTGGTTTCCTTTGCAACCAAGAACCCCACTCTTAGAATGTTCAATGATAATTGTGATAGCCGATGCCATTGTCTTGTTCTTGACTTTGTTGGAAAGAGTTTCTAGTTTACATTCATCCACTGATTCATTCATGAGACAAATATTGAAATCCACGGGTCCAACCTTCACCTAGAGTTCCAATCCACTGCCACAGGGGTCCTTTTAGGTTCCTGCTTTTCTGTTATTGTAAGTCCCCTCTCTGATATTGAGCGTCCTGTTCCCATTAGTCATAATATGTTACTTATTGGGTTAAGTCCCTGAGTGTGACCAGTCTCCTGTCTTGGCCACTGTCCCTCCCCCACGTGACTCTGCATCTTCTTGCTGCGATGCCTGTCTCCTCAAGGACCCCCTCGCCGCCTTGCTCAGGCTCTGACATTCACGCTGGCCCTGCCCACACGCAGATGCCCTCCTCCTCTTGTTGGGTCCTGATCTTGTTCTCTGGCACTACATGGTGGCCCCCTCCCCGTCCTGTTTCAGACGCCTCGTTCCCGGCCAGTTTGACACACAGAAGTCCATCCTGGTGTGCTGCGTCTAGTGGCTGTGGGGCTCTGTTCATCAGGGAGGGAAGTGAAAGGAACAGACGGAGGGAGGGACGGAGAAGCCACGGCCTGGCTGTGTAGAGCCAAACAGATTCCTGATAGGACAGAGGATGTAAGAGGGGAGGGACTTAATGGATGACTCCCAGGTCTTTACTCTGAGGAGCTGACAGATAGAGTGAATATTTACTGAGATGGGGAAGAGTACAGGAGGAGCAGGTTTGGATGGAAATCTGGAGTAAGGTTTGCACATGATGAATTTAGGATGCAGATGAAACATCCAAAGAGCTCTGGTGGCGCAGGGCTTAAGGCCCTTGACTGCTAACCAGAAGGCTGGTGGTCCAAACCCACCAGCCACTCCTGGGAAAGAAGGTTGGGCAATCTACTTCCATAGTGATACTGCCTCGGAAACCCAAGGAGGGGTTGCTATGAGTCAGGACCTACTGGACAGCAGTGAGTTTTTTGGTTTCGTCTCCCTTGGTCTATTATATGAAACATTATATTTTCTAATATTCTGCATTCTTAGGTAATATCTCAGTGGCCATGAGGTGCTCTTTGGACATACTAGAGCTTCTGTAGTTAATATTCTATTTGGAGTTTTCCTAACAATATTTATAAGGGAGATTTCTTTGTAGTTTTCCATATTACAATATTGGATTTTTACACTTTGTACAAATAACTAGGAAGCGTTTTACTCTAACTTTACACTGAAAGAGTTGAATATGATCCAACCCTTCCTTGGCTTTCCAAGGCGGTATCTCTACAGAAGTAGATTGCCCAACGTTTCTTCTGAGGAGTGGCTGGGGGGTTTGAACCGACAGCCTTCTGGTTAGCAGTCAAATGCCTTAGGCACTATGGCACCAGAGCTCCTAACTCTATATTGCAAGAATTGAATATGGTCCTATCAGTTTATATCATAGCTCAAAACCAAACCAAACTCACGGCTACGGAATTGATTCTGACCCACACCTCCCCTAGAGGACTGAGTGGAATTGCACCACAGGGTCTCCAAGGCTGACAGTCTTCACAGAAGCAAAGCCCA